CAGAAAGAGACAGAGAGAGAGAGAAGAGGGGAGGAGTAGATCTTGCGAGAACTTCCGGGCGGGTGAGAATAGCCACTTTCTTCAATTAGATTCTGCTAGATCTACTGAGGCCAGGTGCCAAGTTACCGTGTACGTAAACACTCCGTTTTGACAATAGCTATACCGGTCCGGAAACAAAAAAATAAGATAATTATACAGTGCTTTCAAAGAACATGCAGCATATTCACTCCCAAAAATTTTTTTTTGATAACAACATCAAAAGGTCAACTCAGCCATGTCCTATCCTTTTTACTGTGTTGGTCTTTTCTCTGCTCTTTTTCGTTTCCTCTTGCCGGGTTTCTTTCCTTTTGTTGGTGTTCATCCTCATCATCTTCATTATCTTCTATTTGAATGACCACGAAGTGGTTAGGTAGCCTTGTTTTGTCTTTTGGTGGGCATGGTGCGACACTGGTCCATAACTGAGTAACAGGTATATTATCATACCCGTGCCCTAGAGAGAAATAAGAGAGAGAGAGAGATTATGAATAGAGTACAGATAATTTTTCTTTACGTAATATAAATAAGACAGGAAGAGAGAAAGAGAGAGAGAAATTATGAATAGAGTACAGATAATTTTTCTTTACATAAACTAGACAGGGAGAGAGATTAATAAGAGAGGGAGAGAGAAGAGAGAGAGAGAGAAATGATAAAAACTTAGTGGGAAATACCATAAATAAAACAGGAAGAGAGAGAAATAAGACAGAGAGAGAGAGAGAGAGAAATTATGAATAGAGCACAGATAATTTTTCTTTACATAAACTAGACAGGGAGAGAGCGAAATATGAATAGAGTACAAATAATTTTTCTTTACATTAATAATAAGACTGGAAGAGGGAGAGAGAAGAGAGAGAGAGAGTCTTTTGGTCACTCATACAGCCAGTTGACATAGATAGATTTACAAAACTTAATGCAGACTGTTGCCGACAGCCGCCGACCGTTGCCAACCGTTGCCGACCATGATGTGATTACTGATTTTGTCCCTTGTGTATAAATCAATTAAGTACACCTCTGAAATTGAAACAGGCAGCTATTTTTTTTTTCGTAGCTGTGCAGTAATTTTGAATTTGTGTTTATAGATTTGTCATTATTTGTGTCTTTCAGGTGGTGTTTGTGAGCACCAAAAGTTCAGAAGAAGGCAGCTGGAATGTTGCATCATGGGATGCTCGAACAGGAAATCTTCTTCAGACCCACCGTCATGGCTCTTCTTCCCCACATACACTTTGCATGCTGAATGGAGAATGTATACTGGCAGCCTCCCATTCAAAACCAGTGATTCATGTCTGGAATATGTTGAGACAAGTAAGTCCCCATCATGTCTGAACCGATCCCATGGTAGTTGTAATGTGAAGGATCTACTTTTCAGTACATTAGACTACCTACTCTGAAAGTGTATTATAATTGTTGTTAACATTAGAGCAATGTACTACTTGAGCCTAATCTGCTCTTTCGTTATTTCGAGTTTGTTTTATATCTCAGTCTAAACATATCCAAAGGAGAAATGAGGAGAGGGTCCTTGAGATAATGTGTCATTTTTTTTAACATGCATATAGTAGAGGTGCTATATTTCATTGTTACAGTAATTTTATGTTTTAACAAAATTGCTCATTTTAGTGGCTATGATGCATTATTTTTTACTTCTAATAAGCCTCTCCTGTTTCTCATAGGGTCAAAAACACAGAAAATTGATATGTGGTGCAAAAATAGCGGCGCTTGCCACAAGCCCAGATAACAACTGGATTGCTGCTGGCATGGAAGACAAAATCTACATTTGGCAAGTGAGTGTTTCTGAGAACAATGTATTTTTTAAATATTTTTATAGTAGTGAATTTTTTAAAATAACTGTAATGGGTGAACCTGTTCGTTTTGATCACTTATTTCTTTAGTACTGGTCTGTCAGTTTGAATTAGTCAGAATAAGGAGATTGGCTCACAGACATGTGAACTTGCTCACAAAAGATTTATTCCATGCTACATTTACTCACATACACACTTCAAGACAAACTTACGTATAAGCAAATATGCATAATGGCTTCTAAAAAGGTCAGGCATATCATTTTTTAAAAATAATTTTGGTGATCATTTAAATATACCAGTATCTAAAAGGTTAGTGATAGTCACTGATAAGAATCATTTTACTTCCCTGTAAGGCACATAAAAGTGTTATATTTTAATGTTTAATGAGAAATGTGCAGGAAATCATGTAAATCTGGGATTTGAGAAAAGTGCGTTTTGGACATTAAATTTCATGGACATTTAGGGCACAGTTAGTTACATATAAAGTGACACACTGTTTTGAATCAGTAAGTAAAGAATGGGCTTTAAACCATTCAAAACATAGGGGTTTGTTTTAGGCGGAAAACTACCAGAGCTCATTAATAATTGTCGAATTTTTGCATTTCTGGAGCATTTATAATTTGTTTCAAATACCGCATTATCAATGTAGGAAAATTAAGGTTACATTGGAAAGTATAATGCATTCCAAGATAAATTTAAGAGATAAAACCAGCACCATATATAATACAATATCTGAATGTCAACTATACAAACATGATATTGCTTGTTGCAATTGTACATCTGGGAGGGGGGGTTAAACTCCATTTATGGTGTCTTGCTCCAGGGCTCACTCCACCAACATTGCATGACATTATTTGTTAACCTGAGTTCACTAACTACCTGACAACTGAAGGTCTTGAATTTTGAGGGGTGCCCCACACATACCTTTAAAGTTAAGGCTGATGTTATATAATCGTTTTCATTTCTAGATTTGAAAGGTGAATGAAAAAAGACAGCAGTAGTTAAAAATCAATATTAAATTATTTTTTTGACCGTATCTCTGCCATTGGCGGTGCATCTTCCATCTGGCTTTCTCAGGCCACTCTATGTACACATTTCACTGTTAGTTGTTTTGTAAGTGGGGGGGGGGGGGGGGTTCCTCTCTCTCCTGTGCAAAGCATACAGTCGAACCTGCTTTGGGGGCTGTCGTGGCCTAGAGGTAAAGGTGTTGGCCTCTCATTCAAAGGTCCCGGGTTTGAAAAAATTTCTTCTCTTAAATTGTCTCCTCTCACCTCCTTTTCTGCTCTCTAGCAATGTTCTATTGTCTGCTTTCGTCTCCTCTTTCTGCCCCCTCACCGTCACTTCCTTTGGCCCCTCCTCTGGGCTCCTGACTCTTTCTGCAGCCTTTCTACTGCTACTCCTTGCCTCCTTACTACTGTCTTTCAGCCACACCCCTGATCTTCTGGTAGGAAAGATCTACACCTAGCCTTCTCGGACAAAGAGGAAAAATATCGGAGTCCTGTGTGCAAGTTGCGCACGTTAAAGATTCCTTGGTGGTCTAAAATCGATAAGAGTAGGCCAAGCGGGCAAAATTCAAAATTTCCTACCAACTGAAAAAGTTTATGTGTCCGGCGCTTTCATAAGACCTTATGAGGTTGCGAGCGTCGTAAAACACTTACCTCAAAAAGAAAAAAAAAGAACCTGCTTTTACCAGTTGCTGTCACCTGAGCATGCAGCCTCTGTTCTGTGACACCTTGTTTTTACTGTATTTTTAACCTATCCATAGCAGTCTCTGTCCATATTTTCAGACTGAGGGAGAAGCAGGCTTATCGCCAGGGTAGGCACTGCCAGGAAGAAGTAACAGGACTTAATGTAACGCTTTCTCAATGACATGTGAGTGTCAAGTCAATGAACTCAGCACAAGGGCACAGTCCACTCCTCTGGGACAGCCAGTAATAGCACACTGCTGTTGGCCTCTATAAACGTCATGCAATCTTATGACAAGCACTATGGTGTCTGTCTCTTAGTAGCCAACAGCTGTCGAAGTCAGAGTTGCTTTTGTTGTTTGTTGGGGTTTTTTTGTTGGTTTTTTGTTTTTTGTTTTTGTTTTTTTGGGGGGGGGGTTCTTGTGTTGTTTTATTTTGTGTATGATGGCTATACTAGGGGGTGTTTTGAGTCTGTTGGTAGCATTTGATTTTTAAAAAGCTCTTATGATGGAGAACAATTTTGACAGAAATGAAATGTGTGTAGTAAGTGACCCTAGAATTTTTAATTCTAACTTTAAAAAAACTATTGTCTCCAGGTATGCACAGGAAACCTGTACAGTGTCTTGAGCCACAGTAGTGTTGAAGTGAAGTGCCTTAAGTTCACTCCTAGTGGCCAACATTTGGTGTCAGCATACAAGGATGGCTCAGTGTGTGTTTGGGAACTTCAAGAGTAAGTTTAGGGTTAAAGTTGTTTAGGGACTCTTAAATAACAAGATTTGGTTCTCATTTCACCTATTGATGGAGGGCTGTCGTTCCTCTCAGTCAAAAGAACAGTGGATCGAAACAGTGACCATAAAAAATTCTGCTCTAGAATTTTCTCCTTTGTTCTCCGTTCCTGTTATCTAGTCTTGTTCTGTCATCTGCTTTCCTCTCCACTCTGGTATAATGTTACGCAGTCGTAGCTACACTAATGACCACCTGTCCAAGACAATCGCTGTACAAACAACCACTTTCCACTTTCCTGCTTGCTTTTTTTCTATTCATATTGACACTGTTCTAGAAGTCCATCTGTCTAAGTGTCTAAGATGACGGAATTGCTCATCTTAGACAGGTTTGACTGTATTTTATACAACCTGGAAGAGAGATCAGAGGTTTAAACATCAGTGCGTGTTCCTTCGCTCACGGCACTTTACTAGCTCTCTGATACTATTTAATTCAGTGATTTTTGTTTTTACCTTTTTCAAACATATTTCATTTTTGATGATGCTTGGAATTTGATTATTTTAGCTGAAGAATTATGAAATGAACTGCCAACATATTATGGTCTAGCCATTGGCCATAGTCATGTAGTTTAAATGGAGTTTGTTAATAACTTAATTAAATGCGAACGTGTCAGTTTTATCTTTTTGTGAGATTAAATGAAATGCAGCTTGAATGTCGAATTCATATGAACGGATTATTTTTTTAACAAAGAAATTTTGTTCCATTCTCAGCATTTATTGTCATTACTTCATAATGATTTGTAACATTTTAGATGACAGGTAAACTGTAACTTTTACTGTTATGTTCTTGTGTTTGACAGTGCAGTGACTCTGGATCCACACCGCATCAATGAGGTCAGACCAGTGAATACCTTCTTTGGTCACTCTGGGGAGGTGACAGATCTACACATCAGCCTGTCCAATACAGTGGTCACGTGTGGCACAGACTTCTCTGTCAGAGTGAGAACCTTAGTGTTCATGGAACATCCTACAGTCAAATTCCGATATAACAGGACAGACAGGACCGGCAGTTTTTCCCTGTTATAAGCGAGTCCTGTTATAACCGCTATCAAGGGAAACTACCAGTACCATATATTCGATTACCGCTGATCTTTTTCCAGTGGGCTGTTTTGCTGACACTGAGACGGAATCGATCAGTGACCCCAACACTATGAGGGGGGGGGGGTTGAAAGTTTGTGTTTAGGCAAACGGTCATACAAACAGGCGAAAAATGTCTTGGTTGAGACAAATTTTAATAATTTGACTGATCGGAAGCAAGTTCATGTGCTGCAAGATCACTGTTACATCTGAGTCTGCACAAATTGAACCCTGTTATAGCCATGTTCATATTACTTACACTCATAGAGAAGAAACAAAATGGGGATTTCATTTATCACTGTTGTATCCAAGTTCCTGTAATAACAGAGGCTGTTATAAATGGGCCGGACTGTTCATAATCTTGGGGTGGTGTACTAAGTGACAATGTATCTTGATTTTTTAATTGTTTCAAATTTTGCTTATTTTCCTCATAGCATGTAGTGTCTTTTTGCATACGAGACATACTTCTTTGAGGCAATCTCATCTATTTTTATTGATCAGTTTCTTCAGTCTTAGGTAGAGAGTTATGGGGAAAAAAATTCTCAAGCAGCAGCCTCAGCAAATCTGTTTTCAACAACTTTCAACAGCCAAAATGCTTATGTGGACAAATTTATTTATAAAGATCTTTAACTTTATATTACTGATCCAAGGAGACTGGGTGCTCAAGCATACTTGACCTTAAATTAAACAGCAAAAAGTTTTCCATCTGACTCCATTGAGTATAGTGTGTACTGATCTCAGCTTGTAGAAAAGGAAATGAATATAATGAAAAACCCATGTCTAAATATTCATCTATTCTATGTTTCAGGTTTGGTCTCTGTTCTCCAGTGAAGAGTTGAAAATGTTTGAGCTGGGCACTGCTGTCACCTCTGTAGTAATGGATCACAGCGAACTCACCTTGTATGCAGGAGATGCCAATGGAAACGTCTTCTCCATTGATTTACACCACAAAGTAATTTGATTGACATTTTTGTTTCTTTTGTTTTGTCTTCTCTATTGATTTACACCACCAAGTAATTTGATAGACGTTTTTGTTTCTTTCAATAGATGATAGATATACAGTCAAACCTGTGTAAGACGGCCACCCATTGTCAAGGTGAAAAGTGGCCGTATAAGACAGGTGGCCGTCTTAGGCAGGATTGATCAAGAAGAAGAAAACAAACCATTCCTTTCTGAGAAAACAAACCCTTCCTTTCTGAGGTCCCAACTGAAGTTAGTCGCATTGTTATTGTTGTTGTTGTTTTCGCTGGGGTTGTTCTCTCTTTTTTTATTTTGTTGCCACTTTTGTGCAAGGGTGACAATAAAACGAAATGTGTCAGACAAGGAGGACCGAGTGCTATGGTAAAACAAACACATGTGTCGCTACCATTCGGAGAACGAGCGACGCTTCTGTTACAAGTTCATGTTGACGTCCATTGTTACTTTGTTACGGACTGGGTAAACAGTGACCACTCATCTCACTTACGATTTGTGTGTATGAGTTCTGGGCGGGGCTTATGGGTTATGAGGGATCACACGCTTACCTCACCAGCAGCTGAAAATTAATTTTGTTACCTATTGGTTAACAGTGGGAGGGGCCTACGCAACGTGATCGGTTGGAGGGACTACCTAACAACAAAGACAGTTTATGATGGCTCGCCCACAACGCAAGGGGACAGTGCACAATTTATGACAAAACGTAATGGAGTCACTAAGGTGGCCGTCTTAGACAGGTGTTATTGCTTTGTGTGATAGGGGTTGTGTGTTAAAATATGGTGGCCGCGGCCGCGTTAGACAGGTGCCCGTTTTACACAGTTAAATTATATAGAAAAAACGCAAGGGGGGAAATGGAAAGTGGCCGTTTGTACAGGTGGCCGTCTTATAGAGGTGGCCGTCAGGGCAGGTTTGACT